TGTGCGTGCGTGCGTGTGTACGTGTGCGTGCGTGTGTGTGCCGAGGCTGGCACTACCTGGCACACAGAGTGCCAGCGTCATGGTGCCGGGCATTACAACACTGACCTGTCTCATGGGGGCATCACCGGGGCCGCTTGGCGTGTCTTTAAGTTATTTCTCTCATCTATAACAACACCCTATTATTCCCCTTCTAGATGCCGCCCCTTCCATTTCCCCTCCTTTGACATCCCGCCCATTCCTCCTGTTCCGTCTTGGGGGGCCTTGCCTCTCCCTTCCTCGAGATGAAGAGGGAGAGAGAGAGAGGAATTGTGACCTTATATGTTGTAAAAGAGCTGTAACCTTACATTGTATCAGTAGAGAGTCAGCAACGCCCTGACCTCACCTCCAGTATATCACTATTGGGCCTCAGCCTTGCCCCAGTCTGACCTCAGTCTTGCCTCAGTCTTGCCTCAGTCTGACCTCAGTCTTGCCTCAGTCTTGCCTCGTTGCAAGAGCCTTGCCCCAGTCTGACCTCAGGCTTTCCTCAGTCTTGCCTCGTTGCAAGAGCCTTGCCTCAGTCTTGCCTCAGCCTTGCCTCAGCCTTGCCTCAACAGAGACGCCACTAATGTAAACACGAACTGCTTGCCAGGGATGCATTGTTTCTCTTTATGGCGTTAGTTCCAGCGCCGGGGGGATCGAGGCCGGACTCGCAAAGTAGCGAGACTCCTCCGAATTACCATCTCTCTCCCAGCCCGTACGTCGGCAAGGTCGTTCAATACACGAGTGAGAAATGTGTGATGAAAGAAGAACCAGCGGCGCCCACAGCCAATGGCTAGCAAGATGGCCAACCCACCCCGGTGAACCGGCCAATGAGCGCGCTCAAGGGTACCCCACTTTCTGATGGGAAGTACGCGGCGATTGGCTGGGCGGCCGTGACGTCAGCTGGGCGGCACCAAAAGGTCAGCGGCCATTGGTGGAAGAAGGTGAGTGACGTCAGGATCTCCCGGGTGACGGCGGAGTGGGAGCTGGGCATTGGCAGTTGCAAGTTGAAAGTGGATCAGGTGAGCAACAGAGGCGCGTCGGAGTGTACTGATCGCCCCACTGAGTTTACTATAAGTTTACCTCCCGTCACCACCTCTTATATGAAGGTAAACTGTAGAGGCATTTGTGGCATAGATGCCCCGGCTTATTGGCTTTATTGGTGGCTCTTGTGTAGGGCTTTATTGGTGGCTCTTGTGTAGCTTTATTAACGGCTCTTGTGTAGGGGGTTTATTGGTGGCTCTTGTGTAGGGCTTTATTGGTGGCTCTTGTGTAGGGCTTTATTGGTGGCTCTTGTGTTGGGCTTTATTGGTGGCTCTTGTGTAGCTTTATTTGTGGCTCTTGTGTAGGGCTTTATTGGTGGCTCTTGTGTAGGGCTTTATTGGTGGCTCTTGTGTAGGGCTTTATTGGTGGCTCTTGTGTTGGGCTTTATTGGTGGCTCTTGTGTAGCTTTATTTGTGGCTCTTGTGTAGGGCTTTATTGGTGGCTCTTGTGTAGGGCTTTATTGGTGGCTCTTGTGTAGCTTTATTGGTGGCTCTTGTGTAGCTTTATTGGTGGCTTTTGTGTAGGGCTTTATTTGTGGCTCTTGTGTAGCTTTATTGGTGGCTCTTGTGTAGGGCTTTATTTGTGGCTCTCGTGTAGCTTTATTGGTGGCTCTTGTGTAGGGCTTTATTGGTGGTTCTTGTGTTGGGCTTTATTGGTGGTTCTTGTGTAGGGCTTTATTGGTGGCTCTTGTGTAGGGCTTTATTTGTGGCTCTTGTGTAGCTTTATTTGTGGCTCTTGTGTAGGGCTTTATTGGTGGTTCTTGTGTAGGGCTTTATTGGTGGCTCTTGTGTAGGGCTTTATTGGTGGTTCTTGTGTAGGGCTTTATTGGTGGCTCTTGTGTAGGGCTTTATTGGTGGCTCTTGTGTTGGGCTTTATTGGTGGCTCTTGTGTAGGGCTTTATTGGTGGTTCTTGTGTAGGGCTTTATTGGTGGCTCTTGTGTAGGGCTTTATTGGTGGCTCTTGTGTTGGGCTTTATTGGTGGCTCTTGTGTAGCTTTATTGGTGGCTCTTGTGTAGGGCTTTATTGGTGGCTCTTGTGTAGGGCTTTATTTGTGGCTCTTGTGTAGGGCTTTATTGGTGGCTCTTGTGTAGCTTTATTGGTGGCTCTTGTGTAGGGCTTTATTGGTGGCTCTTGTGTAGGGCTTTATTTGTGGCTCTTGTGTAGGGCTTTATTGGTGGCTCTTGTGTAGCTTTATTGGTGGCTCTTGTGTAGGGCTTTATTGGTGGTTCTTGTGTAGGGCTTTATTGGTGGCTCTTGTGTAGCTTTATTGGTGGTTCTTGTGTTGGGCTTTATTGGTGGCTCTTGTGTAGGGCTTTATTGGTGGCTCTTGTGTAGGGCTTTATTGGTGGTTCTTGTGTTGGGCTTTATTGGTGGCTCTTGTGTAGCTTTATTGGTGGTTCTTGTGTTGGGCTTTATTGGTGGCTCTTGTGTAGGGCTTTATTGGTGGCTCTTGTGTAGGGCTTTATTGGTGGCTCTTGTGTAGGGCTTTATTGGTGGTTCTTGTGTAGGGCTTTATTGGTGGTTCTTGTGTTGGGCTTTATTGGTGGCTCTTGTGTAGGGCTTTATTGGTGGCTCTTGTGTAGGGCTTTATTGGTGGCTCTTGTGTAGCTTTATTGGTGGTTCTTGTGTTGGGCTTTATTGGTGGCTCTTGTGTAGCTTTACTGGTGGCTCTTGTGTAGGGCTTTATTGGTGGCTCTTGTGTAGCTTTATTGGTGGTTCTTGTGTTGGGCTTTATGGTGGCTCTTGTGTAGGGCTTTATTGGTGGTTCTTGTGTAGGGCTTTATTGGTGGCTCTTGTGTAGCTTTATTGGTGGTTCTTGTGTTGGGCTTTATTGGTGGCTCTTGTGTAGGGCTTTATTGGTGGCTCTTGTGTAGGGCTTTATTGGTGGCTCTTGTGTAGGGCTTTATTGGTGGCTCTTGTGTGGGCTTTATTGGTGGCTCTTGTGTAGGGCTTTATTGGTGGCTCTTGTGTAGGGCTTTATTGGTGGCTCTTGTGTAGCTTTACTGGTGGCTCTTGTGTTTGGCTTTACTTTTTTGCAGGGATATTCCTGCGCGGGCCCTAAGCCTCTGGCTGGCCCACTAAGTGTTGCTTGTTTCTGTTTTACTGGGCGGAGTGGGAGTATTTATGACTCGTATGGTCGCTTCAGTAAGATTTTGCCATATGTGTTTAACAACTTCTTCTGCTCTGTTGAATCTAAATTGAAATCTTAATGGGTTTGTAACTGTACACTGTGTTAGATAATGTTCCAGTGGTCTGTTGTGGCTGTAACTGTGCACTGTGTTAGATAATGTTCCAGTGGTCTGTTGTGGCTGTAACTGTGCACTGTGTTAGATAATGTTCCAGTGGTCTGTTGTGGCTGTAACTGTGCACTGTGTTAGATAATGTTCCAGTTATCAGTTGTGGCTGTAACTGTGCACTGTGTTAGATAATGTTCCAGTGATCAGTTGTGGCTGTAACTGTGCACTGTGTTAGATAATGTTCCAGTGGTCTGTTGTGGCTGTAACTGTGCACTGTGTTAGATAATGTTCCAGTGGTCTGTTGTGGCTGTAACTGTGCACTGTGTTAGATAATGTTCCAGTGGTCTGTTGTGGCTGTAACTGTGCACTGTGTTAGATAATGTTCCAGTGGTCTGTTGTGGCTGTAACTGTGTTAGATTTCTTCTCTTAGTTGCAAGTTTTGCAGCTTCGTCTGCAATGTCATTTCCTATTATTCTCACATGACTTGGCACCCAGTTGATAAGTACCCGTCGGCCTTGTCGTTTGAGTGTTTGTTTGACAAGGTCATATTAATATGACATTTGTGATCAGATGGATGTTCTTGTTGCAAGGTTTCAATGGCGGTTCACGAATCTGTATGTATGATAACATGTTGTCGGTGTTTAGCAAGAGCATGTTCCAAAGCCTTTTGAATGGCTAGCATCTCTGTTTGTAAAGTCAAACACCCATTTGAGAGCCTCCAACTATTTACAGAGTTTCCTGCTTTAACTGCAGCTCCGGTTTCTTGTCCCTGCTGGTCTACTGATCCATCTGTGAAGTAAGTGAAGCTGTCAGATGCCAAGTTTGCTTCTATATGAATCTGTGCAATGTTACGTAGCAGATGAGGATTAGTCTGGTTCTTTTTTCCTTCAATAACCATAATCTTAAAGTCTGCTGGAGGAGATTACCAAGGGGATTGCATAACAAAGTCTGCATGTATTTCGTCGACACCCTTCTCAGTGACTGTGTTTGTTATATCAAATGTATTGATGGTGTTTATCACACAGTGGGTCCACCTGTTGCTATTGGAGGCTCTTCTGTCCAGAGTTAGTGCTCCAGTGATTATATCTTTAAGTGAACTGATTCTAGGTCTAGTCAATATCTTGGTCAGCATGCACGCAGCAATCCCTTTTACCCATATTTCAATCGACGTTAGCTTGGTTTCCAGTCTTAGGTTTAGTATTTTAGTCCATCTGGGAGCTCCTGTTATGACTCGCATTGCATCGTTTTGAATAACCTCAACATTTGCCCACTGACCAGGAGAAAGAGTGAGTAAGGCAGGCGCTGCATAATCAACTATAGGGAACGACCGACATGTATGTAAAACATTCTTAACACTTTTCCTCTTGTGTTAGGCTTTATCTCACCCTAACAGGTGTTTACCTCACCCACACAGCTGTTTACCTTACCCACACAGGTGTCTACCTCACCCTCACTTATATGATATATGATTTTAGTTCTGCTTCTAATTGCCTCGTTGAACATTGTTACAACTTGTTATATTGGTTGTTACAACTTGTTAGTTGTTAAAACCCGTTCGAACGTTGTTAGAACGTCGTAATTTCGTCGTGTATTTGGCGTGATATATATATATATATGATATATATATATATATATATATATATATATATATATATATATATAGCGCCGTACGGTAACCAGTTCTCTATACCAATTCAAACTCGGAGGGTTTGTTCCACAACCGATTACGAAACCTGTTCATCATTTCGTAATCATGGCGGCTTTCTTTACATTTATTAAAGGGGTTTAGGAGCTGGGAACGTTCACAACCACAGGTTATTGTTGTTGTTGTTATTGACAACCTCGTAGGGCTTCGGGACTCCAAAATGGTTTAATAAATGTGATACAAAGCCACGGTGTTTGAGATATGATGTAGAGGTTTCGTCAGTGGTTGGGTGAATGGTTGAGTGATCCTGGTGTTTGTTGCAGACGGTGATAACTGTGATAACTCCAGTGGTATTATAGTCTCTCAAGATCTCCCTCGACCATTGTAAGTGTTTCAGTGTTGGTGGGTGTGGCCCACACCTGGCCTCTACCACACCTGTCCTCGACCACACTTGGCCTCGACCACACTTGGCTTCGACCACACCTGTCCTCGACCACACCTGGCCTCGACCACACCTGTCCTCGTCCACACCTGTCATGACCCACACCTGTCCTCACCCACCCCCTGTCCTCACCCACACCTAACTACCGTTAAGTGACAGGTGTGGTGTCATATGTGTGGAGGCAGCACACACAATAGAGCCATGTGTATGACGGTACCCCCCTCTCACCCCCCTCCCCCCTACCCCCCACACACCTGGCTTCCAACACCCCTCCTCCTCTCAGGTAATTACCGTTGTCAGCCAGCTAATGAGACCAGCAACAGGTGAGGGTGTCGTTATTGGCTGTGTGTGTGGGGGGGGGGGGGGAGTGTGGAGGAGACAGGTGTGTGTGTGGGAGAGTGTGGAGGAGAGTGTTAAACATCACTTGTGAGTAGTTGATAGTTAAGTAGTTTTGCTTAGGCTATAGTTAAGTAATTAGCATAAGGAGGCTCGTAGCGGTTCCTCGAGTTTTAATCTTATTCCTGGCTTCCTTTTCCTCTTTCTCCTCTTCCATCTCCTCCCCACCCAACTTCCCAGGACAGACACATACAATGCAATATAGGAAGAGGGGGAGAGAATGAGAATGAGAGAGAGGGTGAGGAGGAGAGAGAGGGGAGTAGAGATGTGAGAGAGCGATTAGAGAGAGAGAGAGGAGAGAGGGAGAGACGGAGAGGAGAGAGAGGAGAGAAGAGAGGGAGAGAG